TGCTTTCCTGAAGAAAAAAATTGAATACTTCGAAAATTACGCGAGCTGGAGAGAAATTCGTTTTAGTTTTGGATTTGCCAGTACAGTTATAGTCTGGAGGAATTTTTTCACATTTTTCCGGGACCCTAAAATTTTTTGGCCGAAAAAAACGATGGACTAGTCCGTCGATTTTCTCAAAAATTTTTAGGCTTCTGAAAATTCTGAAAAAATTCAGGTGGAGAGTAACGGCCCTGACTAATCCAAAACTGCCGTCAGTTCCCCTCTAGCTTCACCAGTTTTCGAGATTTTTTATATTTTTCCGTCCAGTTCTACAACTTTTGTTAGGTAGGCAACTTACAATACACACCTGTATACTTGGCTGCAGAATAATTCCTAAAATCGCCTTTAGCCACGCATTTTAATTTAAACATTTTTGAGAAAATCGACGTACTATACAGGCTGTTTACTAATTGAATGCCGATACTTAAGGGTGTGAATCCTTGGGTTATTTAAAGAAGAAAACTTAATATCAACAGATGTCCTAAACCTCTTAATTTTTGAGCTACAGGGTGTTACAGTTTTAAGAAAAAATTTACTTTTTTATTATAATTTTCTTATCACTCCAGATATTTTTATGAAATTTTGTACACACCTATTAATCATTAAGGAGCATTGTTTGATGTAAAAAATGTTTTAAAATCTTTGCCAATGACGTCCGTACGAGGTTTGAACTAAACATTTTTGAAGAAAAAAATGGTACGCCACTGCTTTTTCTAAAAACTAAAATTATTTTTAAAATCTCCATTTATTTTACAGCAAATTCGGTCCCTAGACTTACTCTCGTACGACGCACCATTTGCACGTAAAAAAATGAAAACCAAAAAAAGTTTTTTCCCCAAGTTCATTGAGACTGCTTTTGATATTTTGTTGCCATTTTGTAGACACCCACCATGCGTGGAAACACTTTTTGTGGGGCAAAAATTAATTTTCTACTTTCACAAATGACGTTCACGTAGGCATAATATTAAATGTTTGGATAGAAAAAACGGTAAGCTCATTAAATGCCCCCTTAAAGCAAATGAAATAAAAATTAGTAGGCTGGGTAAAGTGTCATAATGTATTTATTATGTATTTACAGTAGTTGTTGAAAGTGTCCTCCACCCACACGTATGCAAGCATCTACTCTTCTTCGCATAGACTGACGTACATTTTCAAAAATTCCTGGGGTGTCTCTTATGGTTTGGCAGCATACTATTATACGATTTCGTAACTCTTCTTCGGTTTGAATCGGCACTGCGTACACTAAGCTTTTCAGATGACCCCAGAAAAAGTAGTCTAAACTATTAAGGTCGGGAGATCTGGGCGGCCATGACTGCGTTCCTCCGCGGCCTATCCACCGATCGCGATAGTTGTGATTTAAAAATTCACGCACCCGTAAGCTAAAATGTGGAGGCGCACCATCGTGCATTAGCCACATCTGGTTTCTTAATAAAAGAGGAAGGTCTTCAAGCATTGGCGGCAGATCTTCTTCAAGAAAGTGTAAATACGATTGTCCATCTAATCTTCTTGGGAGAAAAAATGGGCCTATCAAATAATCGTCAATAATACCAGCCCAAACATTTATTGAAAACTGTTCTTGATGATTTGATTCAACAATTGCAAAAGGGTTTTCATCCGCCCACAAATGGTTATTATGGAAATTTCGTATTGAGTTTCGAGAAAAACTAGCTTCATCGGTAAAAAGAATGTACCTGTCAAATAACGGATTTTCCAGCAGCTTTTGAAGAAACCACTCACAGAAATTAATGCGCAACGGGAAATCTCTAGGGAGTAATGCCTGGACTCTTTCAATGTGATATGGATATAACAAATTTTCGATAAGAATTTTCCAAACAAGTACGTGTGAAACATTAAATGTTGCCGCGATTTTCCTCGTGCTAGTTTCGGGGTTCTCCTCAATTTCATGTAAAATTCCTTCTTCAAGTTCCGGTGTTCTTACTGTTTCAGGGACTCCTTTAGCACTGTGGTCTACTTTTAAATTTCCGGTTTCGTGAAGACGTCTATGAATCCCAGAAAATGTTCTCGGATCGGGTAGTACGCGATTTGGATACCGCTCTTGGTATATCCTCCTGGCTTCGTATGCATTTCCGTCGGCAACCCCATAAGTAAAATGCATGTCAGCTAATTCACCGATTGTAAAATTTACCATTTTTTATGAGATTTTACCTCCTACTCTAATAATTTTTTAATAATGAAAAATCAATGTCAACTTTATTGCGAAAAGAAGCGTAAAAAATTATGACACTTTACCCAGCCTACTAATTTTTATTTCATTTGCTTTAAGGGGGCATTTAATGAGCTTACCGTTTTTTCTATCCAAACATTTAATATTATGCCTACGTGAATGTCATTTGTGAAAGTAGAAAATTAATTTTTGCCCCACAAAAAGTGTTTCCACGCATGGTGGGTGTCTACAAAATGGCAACAAAATATCAAAAGCAGTCTCAATGAACTTGGGGAAAAAACTTTTTTTGGTTTTCATTTTTTTACGTGCAAATGGTGCGTCGTACGAGAGTAAGTCTAGGGACCGAATTTGCTGTAAAATAAATGGAGATTTTAAAAATAATTTTAGTTTTTAGAAAAAGCAGTGGCGTACCATTTCTTTCTTCAAAAATGTTTAATCCAAACCTCGTACGGACGTCATTGGCAAAGATTTTAAAACATTTTTTACATCAAACTATGTTCCTTAATGATTAATAGGTGTGTACAAAATTTCATAAAAATATCTGGAGTGATAAGAAAATTATAATAAAAAAGTAAATTTTTTCTTAAAACTATAACACCCTGCAGCTCAAAAATTAAGAGGTGTAGGACATATGTTGATATTAAGTTTTCTTCTTAAAATGACCCAAGGATTCACACCTTTAAGTATCGGCATTCAATTCATAAACACCCTGTATAGTACGTCGATTTTCTCAAAAATGTTGAGGCCTCTGAAAATTCTGAAAAAATTCAGGTGGAGAGTAACGGCCCTGACTAATCCACAACTGCCGTCAGTTCCTCTGTAGCTCCGCCAGTTTTCGAGATTTTTTATATTTTTCCTTCCGGTTCCAAAGCTTTTGTTAGGTAGGCAACATACAATACATGCCTGTATACTTGTCTGCATAATAATTCCTAAAACCACACGCATTTAATTTTTTTGACTATAATTTCATGAAAATTGTCAAAAAATTAAAATGTCCCTAAAGACTACACCCCGTATATGGTCTGGGCAGCAGAAGACGCCGATGTAGCCCGCTTATTTTTGTATGTTGCTTTCCCGAAGAAAAAAATTGAATATTTCGAAAATTACGCAAGCTAGAGAGAAAATCGTTTTAGATTTGGATTTGTCATTACCGTTAGAGTCTGGAGGAATTTTTTCAGATTTTTCAGGGCCCCTAAAATTTTTTGGCTGAAAAATCGATTTTTAGAGAAAAGCTTTGGGGCTCAGAATAATTTGAAAATAATCCCACATACATTAAAGAGCCTGGCGAATCACGGGGCGAAATCAGTTTCTTTCCAGCTCTAAGGGTTTGCGAGATTTTTAGAATTTTTCATGAACCATGGCATGCTAACGGAAAATAACGATCCCTGAGTGCTCAGCGTCCTCAAATACATGGGATAAGCCCCTTCGATGGTAAATTTATTTTTTGATAATATTCATGGGCTATAGTCCATCGATTTTTAGAGAAATGTTTTGGGGCTCAGAATAATCTGAAAAAATTCCCACAGACACTAGAGAGCCTGGGGAATCACGGGGTGAAATCAGTTCCTCTCCAACTATACAGAATTTTAAGGTCTTGATTTCTTTCTAAAGCCGGTCCCAGACGATGTGGCGAATGCCTTCCTATGTTGGACACATTGCTATTTGCTACATCGTGTGGGCGGATGCTGGCGAATTGCATGTGTCCAACATTGGCTACATGCCACGTTCGGGCTTCTGTCGGTAAATTTAAGCCGCATCAAAGGAGCTTCCAGCATTGGAAGCATCGTTCGTCACACACCTACACGAGCGATCGTGTGTTTGACGTATTCCAGGAGTGCCGAATAATTCGACATTTAACTAGTTTAGTTTTTGTTGTCTATAAAGTGATACTGAATATTATAAATATAATATAAAGTTTTCAAAGTTTGTACCTTCTTGTCAAAAGTGAGATATATGTTAAATAAAACTTTACTAATGCCTTGAATTTTAGGAGATTTCATTTAGAGATATGTAGCATCCATCACCTTCTAACATGTCTCTTTTTTTTTGTAATAATAGTTTTGGACTGCATAATACTCTCATGCCGGCAGCAATGCCAATAGTTGTTGTCTCTTCATCTTTCATTTTTTACTGTTCTGTGAATCTGCAGTATGAATACGACACTGACGAACGTTGGCCACACATGTATTTCTAATGTTCAACAAAAGTTCACCCCATCATGTAGCAGACACACTTGCCATACTTTTATGACGAAAATTGTGTCCAACGTTGGAACGAACATTGGAACCAACGTTGGACACATCGTCTGGGACAGGCTTAACATATTTTAAAAATTTTGTGGAATAATTCAATTTTTAGGGACCAAAGGATATTTAAAAAAATGGAAAATATAAAAAACGATCTTATAAATACTATTTATTCAATCGATACAAATAATTACAGAATGGAATGTAAACTTGTTCATCTTATTCACGTAGATCATAAATTGCAAATTTATAGAGTATTTTTAATTTTGTACAAAAATGAATTATTAAGATATTTGAGAGGCAAAATGATTTTTAAATGTTCACAGCCAAACAGAATATAATGGGAGAAAAGGAAAATATATACAATTAATTTGAGCTTAATCTATTATGATTTAGGCAACTATTTCTATTAAACAACTACTCAGATCAGCGACGTGGAGAAATATAATAATATTAATTAATATATCTCCAAGTCACTACAATAAGGAAACAAAAAAAATTAAAGTACGGGCTTAAAAATTTGTATAAGGTTTATAAAAATATTTGTTATTAATTTAGATCATGCAAATTTTTCTTATTAACTAATTTAATGTAAATTAAAATTAATTAACCTTAATGGATACTATTACGAACATTTTCCACATTCCGTGATTTTATGCGTATTGTAAATAATTCGGCGTATTCAGTTTATTGCAAAATTGTCAACAATCACTTTCCAATACTCATAAAAGCAGAATATACATGAAGTGTACAACATAGCCTCACATGCAAATTTTCCCTGGTTAGGTCCTGTTTTGGCACTAACAAGTATATAGCAGTTTGTTGTTATATGGCAGAAGTTTTGTTACGGCAACATACTTTCATATACAGGATGTCCCAGAAATAACTGCCAAAATATTGAGATTTTCAAAAGCAACAACATCTGTCTTATAATTTTTAATACGAGTTTTCGAAAAAAATTATTAGGTAAAACTTATTTTTATCGGTTACAATTTGGGCACATTTCAGGGACATCACGTTTATAATTTCAGTTTTCAGTTTGAGAAGTAAGTAAGGTCAATAAGACGTATTTTATCCTTGGACAAGACCTAACCGCCCTGTAAACGCAATATATTTATCACATCGAGACAACAACTAAATAACATAGTTTCAAACAAAATTACAGAGGCCCTGGCCTCACAAAAATTCGAGTACATTACTTAGTACTTAGCTGCTCCAGTCATGCTGCGTGAAATGCAGAGTAGTGCGAGTAGTTCATTTCGCGTAACAATAAAATTTGACTCAAAGCTTAAAAAAATATATATTACATTGAGCTTCAAAAATATCTTTCTTTGCTTTAATACAACCGTATCCTAACATAAAACTGATAATATGTTTCTCTCTTTTACTCTTATAGTGCAAAATAGCATTTAAGGCAGTCTATGAAAGATCTAGCAGGTACAAAATAGTTAAACCGGATCGAGCGTGTTACTTAAATATAAGTTTTCTTTATTTTCTGTAACGTTCCTTCGTTCGTTATGTTCAAATTCTTTAGTGAACCTAAATTGTCCTTTTTTGGCGGGAGGGAATCTGTGGACACATTCAAGACGTCTAGATTAACCGTCTTGGTCCGTGGGGCTAAAAAACTATTCTGGTTTACCGTCAGTCTGAAAAAAAAAACCAAAGTTAATTTACACATGACAACACTGCACCACAAAAAAGTTCACTGTAAGTCAGGATGGCCAATTATATTCAATACCATTTCACCATAACCCCATAACCCTGTATCCCCATAACCCGGGATGTGTGAGAGTGCAGAAACAGGAAACATAGATTTTATACATGGGTACAAAACTAGGACTGTGGACGGGAAGGCTTCTCTAACCCCATAACATCGTAACCCCATAATTCTGGGTGTGAGGCAATGTACAACAATGCAACTCTAAGAAATTGAGTCAGCGGTCCTTTAACCCCGGGGCGTGCAAGCTCCTGTAGATTCATGATCTGAGGCATATACAGATTTGTGTACAGTCACCCGAGGGTTTTTCTCTTTGTATCTACACTGAAATAACATAATAGTGCTTCCTACTTTGCGATCAAAGCACAGGTTACGGCGTTATGGGGTAATAGTGTCCCAAAATTATTCTAATACTCGAGTCGGTTTAAAATCTCGAAAACTATTTTCTAGTGTTTCTTGATGTTAGGCTCAAAATACGAACTGGTTCGGGACTTCTGATTTTAGATAGAGATTGGGGGGGATGAACTAAAGTTTGAGTAACAGTAATTTACTTTGTTTAACATACCATGGAAAAATTAAGAACATGCAGTGGATGATAAAGACTTTATAGCTTATTTCGGGTATTTTTTAAGTTGGAGTTTCCTTTTACAACTAAACAAAATAAGAGTATTTTTCAAGGAAAATCATAATTTGAAAATAATGTGAGAAATTTTGTAATATTGATTTTTTTTTAGTAAAAGTTAAAAGTTTTGGAAAGTCCAAAAGAAATGGAGGAATTAACCATCCACAATAAATCATTTTAACTTATTTGTCTTATAATGAGAAATTATGTACAATATTTTATAAAAGTTGTACAGATTTCAGTTTTCACCAACACATATTCTTAAACGAAAATGTCTCATGTTTACAATATAAATTAATTTATTTACATGAGACTGGCCTATAGTTAGACAACCAGTCAAACTTCGGATTATCCTTAGATAGCAGATACATACAGGGCTTTCATTAATGTCCGAGACCCACGTGACCAAATTGGTTGTCACTATAAATAAATTTGATTTTCTTAAGTTGGCTACTACGAAAAATTTCAAGTTTAGGGACCCTAAACCAGCTATGGTGTCATAGACTGATTCAATGTTTTAATTTGTACGGAATACCAATTTGTATTGGCAAATGTAATGTCGGTTGCGTACCGTCGCGATCACGTGGGTCTCGGACATTAATGGAAGCCCTGTACTGTGACCAATTTGTTTTCGAGTTACTTTGTAAAATCTTTATTGTGCGATTTTAACTGGATTTTTTTCTTTAATTGTAGAGAATGGACTTGTACTATATTTTATCAAAAATGTTTAAGTAATAATGGTTTTGTAGCTAAATTAAAAATGCACACTAACGCATTTTCATAAATTTATTCTAGTCATTCATGAAAAAAGAAATCACACCTAGCGACACATACATTGTAAAATGTACTCCGCTAGACTATCATCTGTCTTTAGGGAATTTTGTGTTAAGAGGGCTATATAGCAAATAGGCAACCAGCAATACATTTTTAAAGATATTACAGTTTGTCTAAATTTTAATTAATGCACAAATAACAGACTTTCCCCCATTTTAACGCAGATTTTCTATAAAAAGGAGTTAGTTTGAAACTCAAATAACTTTATTGAAATTTATAATTTATAATGCCGCTTGTGCAAAAGCGGCAAATTACAAATTTCCTTATAACAAAAAGTAATTTACGTTTCAAACTAAGAGCCGAATAGGAAAATTTCCCTAATCATTTTAAATTTAAACCTGTTTTAAATTTAAATAGGTAAAAAGGTAAGGTAAAAGGTAAATTTAAATTTACCTGTCTAGATGATTGTGCTGTTCAATAAACGGTGGATTAGGGTACTGCGTATGGACGTGAAATCGCCGAGAGACTAGATATCCACATAAGAATCCAACAAATAAACCCGCTAAACTAGCGACTGCGACGATAATATGTAAATATTCCGAAGTGTACAAGGTAAGTTTGCTCTGTGCGGCACAGCCTGTCACCTTTTCTCCATCCACTTCGTTGCAGTCCGTCGATTCACCGTCTAACCTCAACAACGGATCGGGAGACTGTTTGTCTTCTTCAAGGGAGTTGGTGTCTATTAGTTTAGTCTCATATTCGCTTTTGGGTATAGATTTATCTGCAAACGAACTGGTGAGTTTCACCTAATCACGACATCGTAAAAATAATTACCAGTGGGTTGTATTCTGCATCTCGATATATTGCCACCCCTCACGTCTTGTATTAAGTAGCGGAAGGACGTCACGGCGTCCACACTAACGCATACTCCTTTGAGAGAATCCCAGGCGCAGTGAGGATCACGTAATTCTATACAGTCGCTACGACACAATAAAACACGTGAATATTGTTATATAATCGTACAAGACTACGACTTACCTGCAACGGCCGATGCTAGCGCAGGGATTTAAAGTTACCAGTTTAACTTCCTTTTTAGTAACAACCACGACTTTCCCGTACCCTGGCGCTATTTTTAATTGTTTTATCGGCGTGCCTTTAGGAAACACTTCGTTTTCGGATATAACGAATGCCTTGGTCGAATTAGAACTAGGAATGTTTACCAGCTTCAGCACCTTCCCGTCGTCTGAAACGAGTTAAGTTTGTTAGAAAATCGAACAGCGGGGTATAAAATATTAAATAATCATACCCGTTCCGACGTATATGACATCAAACGTCTCGTCGCTAATTGTGCGAACCTGAGGATCAACAGTAACAGCTGTAAACCTATAATTCAAGCTAACTCTGATTAACAGCGGTCTGCCGTTTAGAGAGGGTACCGTCTTCTCCATCAGTGGATGTGTTTTGATAAAATTAACATTATTATTCGCTAAAACACGGCTGTCTTGGACGCACTGTCCCGGTCTAGGCGTTGGCACTTTATTGTCAGGAACCGGCAACCAGTTTGAATTTATACCCTCTTGGTATTTAAAGGGACCCTCGAAGACACTTTGAATATCTTCCATTTGGAATATACATATAGCGGATCCTCCAATAGCGTTATTAGGTGTAGTAAGTGCGCTATATATTATTTTTACGTTTGAATCGCCGCCATATTTACCATCTACTACTTCACTAGTGGATTCTGAAACAAGTTACATGTTACAATTTTAATTTTCATTTCATGTCTGGATATGTCTTACGTATTTCATCAAAGTAAAAAGGATATTCTCCAGGCATGGAACAGTTCAGTCTTGCTTTAAGGAAAGTAGTCCAACGGTCCCTTGATTGATGCGGACCGCCTTTGTCATGCTTGCAAACCCTAGCGACTCTAGAATATATAACTTTCCCACAATTCATATATTCCACAGCCGTTTCACGGAAGAAAAAGTATATATAGTCCCCATACGTCAAAGAACTAACAAAATTTGGAGCTGGAAGAAATTATACAATTAATAAGATACCTTGGAAATAAATAAGAAAAAATTATATACCATTAAGCTGCCTGAGATCAGATAGTTCCGTTCGAAGGGGCTGCCTATATATTAAGGGATCTGTCCCTGAAAAATCTGCAACAGTTGCAGAAAATAAGTGTCCATTACTATATACAGCAGTACTGTTATCTTCAGGGTCATAGGGACATAATCCAATTCCTTCCATTTCCTTTTCTACAATTACTTTCTCATTCTGGAAAAGATATCACAATTCAATTTTGCAATGTAACTAGAAAATGTTAAAAAGACAATTTTGAAACTTGTACTGTTGTGTAATAGGCATCTTGCATGAAACTATAAATTTGAAGATATAACAGATAACAGTGGCAAAAAAATAAATTTCTTTAGAATGTAGAAATTTAAATTTTGTCACGCGATCAATTGTGACGTCATTTAGTGCGACAGAACGCAACTTACTTCTTTGCAGTCTAGTCTACAATTGCCATGCATCCAAAGAAACGCGCGCGCAGGGAGCCTCGAAGCAAAGTGAATTTGGCTATATCTAGATTCTTGTTCCCAATCGCACTAATTGACGTCACGAATTAGCGTGTTTAAACCCCATTTAAACCCGCTTAAATATAAGTGATTTCTAATATTACCATGATTATATAAGGTTATAGATTATTTATAGTTTAAGTTGTCCAGTATCTCACAAGGTTGATACTAAAACCAGGGATACGAGTTCAAATCATTATGACATGATTTATAACTTGTAAGTGATGTGTTACTATTGTTATATTGAAATATAGTAATTGCTCTTTGACTAAAACCGCAGATAAATAAATTATAATTATATTCATTACAGTTCTTGATAATAAAAGTTTATATAATTAAAACTAATGAAGGTTGTTTTGGTTCTTGTAGTGGTGGTAGTTAACAAAAATTCCAACTAGATGCTACGGGTGCATCTGATTCTGTTGAATATCTTGATCATGTTATCATTTTTACAAAAAATTATTTACGTCAGAATTGTTGAAATAAAAAGTTACTTTAATTTCAGATACAAGGGACAAGATAAAAGATATAAATAACTGTTTCGAGCAGATGACAAATGTCCATTGAAAAAATGAATTGGTGCAGCACAACACGAGGCTCAACTAAATATATTACTATAATAACAGCCATACATTGAGGCTAAATTAAACACTCCACTCAGAGTCTTCTGGAGTTACAGCTTATATGATTTACTGTATTTATTTTTGGTTTTATCAAAATTTTAGTCCGGTTGTAATCCACAGCTGAAGTCGCTTAAATTATCTTGAATTTTGAGTAGATTAAGAAAAATTATGGTTGAGCACAGTTGTATTTAATATAAAGTAATAAAAACAAAAGGTTCTAATTTTAAAACTATTTTATGAAGCAAGAAATTCTATATTTACTTTTAAAAAGTAGCTTGACGTTTAAGTGTCAACTCAGTTAAATATAATTTGTTTATAAAAGATACCTATTATATTTACAAAAGTTAATTTAGAGCGCGAAAGACGAGTAATTGGACTAAATGAAAGACACATTTAATGAGAATATAAGATATAAAATATTACTTCCTTTGCACAGAATAAATATACATAATTGTAACTGCAAATTTTTTAAATGTTGAAAAAACTCGTGCTGACAACCATGGATTTCCATTTTCTTTTTTTTTTTGAAAATAGAACATGCAAATGTTGATAATTATATTAATAATGAATATTTAATGTAAACATTTTTCAGCAATATTGTTTTGCAAGTAAGCAAAATAATTAACTATACTATACACAATACAATATTGTTGTTTATTAAAAGAATAATAAGGCAGGAGAGAAAAAAATAATAATAATGAAAATACTGGGTGTTTTTGAACAGGTGTTACAAATTTTAACTCCAAATAGCACTCGTCGAAATAGTAAAAAAATCATTTTTATTTTTTTTTGTTGTCAAAAAAATCGCATTCCCACAGAAATAAATAGATAAAGCTAACATTTTTAAGAGGACTGACTTTTCTCCAAAAAAAAATAAAAATAAAAATATTTTCCCTCTTCGCGTAGAAACCAGGAGAATATGGATAAATCTATTATCATTTTTTACACAGTGGCTGAGGCAAGAAGGTAGAGAAAGATATGTTGGTAGCTGTAGAAATCGAATCCAATTTCAATAGTCTTCTACAATTTTTTCGAGAATGGTTGTTTCCATGGATATGCCGCAGAATACATTTCTTGCAAAAAATTTTAATCTTTTCAATGCTTCTAAGAAAACTTAAAAATTAATTGAAATAAGCTTTTTACATTTGTCCCATTGCTACAATTTTATCAGTCATTTTCAGTTTTAAAAATAATATGTCTATACCTATACCAAAACTGATAAGTTACTGCTTTATTTATTCTTATTTAACAAAATAAAACAATTGTTTCTAGTCAATATTTTCGAGTACTTGGTGTTAAAGTCTGTAACACTTATTTAGGGTCGCCTGGATGTTATTATTAATCAGTTTTTCTTTATAGATCTAGGTGCTAGTTACAAAAATAAAAGTTATAAATACTGGGTGCTGAGAATTTGAGGCAAATTTCTCATGAAAGCCTATTTAGTCCCACTGCAACAGGAGACTTACCTTTTAAAACCAGTCATTTTTATTCTACTCGTCATTATGATGTTGAAATTTTAATAAGCTTTACCTTTTCGATCGTTCGTACCTACTCGCGACAGAAATATAAAGAGAATCGTGATATTTATTTTAAACGTGCCATTTGGAATTGAAGATGAGCATGTAAAAGTGTGTTAATCTCTACTATAATGTCAGGACTGACTCGGAGCTATAATATAATGTACTTTATATTTAATTATATTTTCGTTGCGAAAAGCTGTTATTACATTCGTTGATAATCATCTTAATTTAACACGGAATATTCCACATCTTGGCGATGTGCAAATAAAATCCATCTATTGATATCAACATTTCGATGACTCATTAAGAGAAAAAGAATAAGGCCGGGAAAGAATTGAAATCATGTTTTAATAAGCATGATAAGCGACTCGTAGGCAGTTCTAATTCAATTTGTCTCCTACGTGGTGCAAATTGGAGTAGGTAGGTTGGTTGTACAATAATCAGTACTGTTCTATTTATATTTACCGAGTAGATCATGCACTGAAAATGGTTTTGACTTCAAGGAGAATATGAATCGGGCGTTCAGACCCTGGCGGGGAAATGTGGCGATTTTTAGAATAAATTTAATTTTTTGTGTACACTGCTGTTTTGATATAGAACATCGTGGATAACTTCACACTTTGTAAACAAGTACCTACAATGCGGGTTCATCATAAACTAGTCACAAAAATTAAAGGGTAAAAAAAATCCTAAATAAAATAAAAAGCAAATTTATAGTATCAGGATTTGAAAATTTTTTATCATTGACCACCTTTAAGAAATAAAATCCAGATGGATAACAATTTCAAAAGGTCCACGGGTTTCAATAATTTATTTTGGCAATCCCGCCTGTCCCCTCTCTTTGTTTGATTCATCCTCTTCAATTTGAGCTGTTTAAGAGCTTTGTACGATGATTTGTCGCTGATTTATCGCCGTTCAAAGGAAAAATTACCTTTTTGGCTTTGCTAATTAATTATTCGGGAACTAAGTAGGTTTGAATACTACAAGGTACCTTTACTACATATAATTGACGAGTTCTACACCCTAAGGGTATTTTGTAATTCTTATGCAAAGTGAACTAATAAAAATTTTACTTACTTACTTGCTTACTTTATAATACTACAAGGTACCCTTTATAAGATGTTCATGTCATTTTTTGATAAAAAAATATTTTCCATGTAAGAAACTTGATTCAAACAAATGTAAATTGCATATTTAAGGATTTACGCCAAACTTGGGATAACTTTATAAATAGTGAATAGACTAAGTATATTTTTTTTAAACCCAAGTATCAAGGGCGTCGCCAGCCAATGGGCTAAGGGAGGGCAAGATGAGAGAGATGGGAGAAATATAAATTATAGGTAGAGATAGGTACAGTGAATTAATTTTTTTTTAGAAATATTTTTAATAAAACAAGAAAAACAAGAAAAAATATAAATAACTAAAAAATTAAGAAATTCAACGAAAATTATAAAATATATAAAATTGGTGCGTTACATATATAGCTTTATAGTCCAATCAATGGGTAGAAGAGCTTACAAAAAACACCACCTGGAAACAAAAAATATGGTGGATAGGAAAAAAAATTCTAAGAAAGGTAATGTTTTCATGTGGCGCATAAACGGCGAAGTTAACCTAAAAAATTCATAAAGTCAAAAAGACGGTTTTTCGCTAATAAAAAAACTTTAACTCCAATCGAAAAAAGTTAAATAAGAAAGTTGTAGCTATTAAAAAACCTATCGATTCGTATTTTTAAATATGTATATCGATTGCTATATTACTTTTCGAGATATATATCTCGAAAAAACCTTCAAAAATAGACTTTTATTATTTTTGCTGTATCTCTTGCAAATTAAGGTTTTCAAACTTGTGACTTGCTGTAAATGTAGCCGTCGGCAAGCAAAAAGTGCCTTTTTCAAATTAAAAAATATAAAAATTTTTCGTTATCGTTTTTTCGAAAAACAGGTCATTTCGAAAATCGGCCCTTTTTGCTCGACGAATAGTCGTAGAGAAATGAATCAGAGCTCATTTTTTTCCTTTCATGGTAAAAAAGAGTGGTAACGATTTTATTCACTTCAAGTGTCCAAAAATGACTTTAAAAAAAGTAAAAAATTTTTGGTTGCGTTTTTCTTCAATATCTTTTTCGATTTTCATTTCTCGAGTATGTCTATTACATGAATCGATTGCTGGCATTTTTACGCGAATTTAAAAAAAAACGTTTTGAAGCCTCTGTCCCCCCCTGTCTCTCTTGGCGACGCCCTTGCCAAGTATACCAAAACAAAACCTGAAAAGCTCAAACAGATGCGATTATTTTTTTTTTTTCATTGTGGTCCGAATGATTGAAATTGTTACTTTTGTTAAAAATAAAGTACCTAAAGGATAAATTTTGCATCTTTTATTCATTTTTCTAAATTGAAAATGTTTTTTTCCCAAAAATCCATTTTTTTTCATCAAAGAATGTTAAATATCGAAAAAAGGGGAAAAATGTTAGCTTTTAACCCTTTGAAAAATCACCTAAAAATTTAGGAATTTTTTATCCTTTAATTTTTGTGACTAGTGTATCAATTGTTACTCATGAAAAAAACATCTTTATTTGCTACGTTGCGTTGCGAGGCTTGCTTAATTATAATTTTAAATTAAATTAATCTAAAATTCAAGTTAATTGAATTAAAAGACACAATAGATATTTAATATTTTTATCTCTGAAACGCGATAAAATGTTTTAATATTTTTTAATTTTACCGAAATTTAGTTACCAATATAAAGGAAATAAAATTACTGTTCCAAACAAAATTAGTGGTCACGAGGCTTGCAATCATTTATTAAAGCTCTAATAAAATTAAATAAACAGTTCTAGCAACATTTTCAGCCAGACGGAGCGTAAGCGGTAGACTATAGTTATAAACTTTCACTAATTTTTATAAACCCGTAGTAATATGCTAAACTTAAATAGAACAAAAACCATTCGAATCAATAAACTTATGGTAGCATAATTAGTAGTACTGAAGGCAAAGTTACTAGACTGAATTTTAAGTAAATTTTATGTTTACCTTCACTTTGTATGCTAGATAGGAAAATCGTGAAGTACCTTATACGGCAAAATTATGTTACCCAGTTACAAACACAACTGTTATAGCGTCTGGTTTTTCAATGTCTCCCGTTCGGAACAGGCTGGTCGAGGTTCTAACAAAATAATAATATTAAATATTTATGAACATAACCAAGTGGGTAAATTCCACACCTTACTATTGTCCAACTACCTACTTATTATTTAAAGTAATTACCACACACAATTTCACGCAGATTCACCTGTTGGACTAAAATTTTACAATTACAGCAAAGAACATAAAAATAATATTTGGGCTTGACCTCTACGTTTAAAAAAATATATTGCGCCTTTATTTGAGAGTACATAAAACGTAATCATTTTCAAATATTGTCATACCTGTGAAGGTGTCTACACCTCCGGACACAGCCCATAAGTAATAATTAAGTCTTGTGTGAGATCTCAATTTAAATACAATAATAACAGGCATTTTGAATTCATAATACGCTATTGTTAAAAAAATAAAGGAAAATAATATTTTAATTTCCTGTGTAGAAAAATAACACTAATGCGTTTGCTTACTCGTTCTGTCAGTCACCCCACTGAACAGGTTGAGTGCCAAAAAGTCTAGACATAAATGCATTGGTAAAGGTATTGATTCACTAGGTACATTAAGTTCAATGTCAAATATTTTTTGACTAAATGACGAAAAAATTAGAAATTAATTTACGAGGGTCAAATTTTTAAGGTTTCAAACTAGAACTCTGAAGATTCGCTATTTTTTGCCAATTTTATGTCTTTTTGTCAAATTCGCATAATGCAAAATTTGTTCGATTACTTTTGCGACGTCAGAAAGTTAAATTTTATTATACTTTTTACGACAATATTTTAGTTTAAAACTTACATGCGAAGTAGAAATCAATGAAATAATTAACATTAGCACTTATACCCATTTCGTTTTTTAAATCTCCGTAAAAATATGTTCCTTACCGAAGTCTTTTTTATGTTTATAAAGTAAATGCGAAACAATCAAAATGTACATTTCATAGTAACAATAATAATCTGTCTCGAATATTTTCAAATGACAATAGAGCTTATTAGTAGTGACGTCACATACGCCAAATAATAGGCAACCCCATAGTACACATTGTCATGAAGAATTTCTCTTATGTACTTTGGACATAAGTGCCAAATGTCTTCTTTGTCATGATTTAAATATCGCGATATCCGGGCAATATTAGAAATAAATAAATGTTTCAAAAATTTTAAAAAATACCTATTTTATCTGAGTTTATCACTTATATCTTGGAACCTACGCATTTTGGAAGAATATTGAAGAGAAAAAAAGTTTTAGAATTGAATTTTGCATATTATACTGTAAGTTAGAAATGTTTAAATTTATTACCGATGTTGCAAAATAGCAATAATTGATGAAAAAAAGGCAAAATGATCAAGATTTTTGGATAATTTTTAAAAAATATTTTAATTGCTCCGAGGGCAAAAAAACTGTAGAGTATAATAAAACAACACACCAAATTTCATTAAAATCGGTTCAATAGTTTTCGCAAAATAATTTTTTAAAAAATTTTGAAAGAATTTTTCTGAATTTTCAAAATATTGCACAGCCTCAAATAAAGCATCTAGTTACTTGAAAATTTTTTCACATAGAAAAGACCGCTCAACCTTTCAAATGATTTTTGAGAAATGAAATCGGTTGAAGCTAACACTTTTTTTTATTTTTAAATAATTAGATCACATTTATCAATTTGCAATTTAGTTTTTCTCAAAAATTTTAAAGTACTCGGAAAGACACTTCTTTAAAAAAAAAGTTAAAATGAGCGGTCAAAGTTTATCGGCATTTACCGCTAATTTATAAACAATTTAGCAATAATCTTTGATCCAGTGGCTTCATTTTTCCGAGTTCTAAGCTGGAAAAAAATCTCATATCCATAACTTATCGGCTACATAGTTGCTTCACGCGCGAAAAGTGACTCAAAACACGAAAAGTGGGGGAGGGGGCTTTCGCTCCGAGACTGAATTCGGAGGTTCAAAATGCGAAGGTACGAAAAAAATTGCATTATCTCTGTTTCTAATGGGCCAATTTCGATCTTTTTTTTTAATCCGATGTCTCGCGAGCCAAGGAATTCGAATATCGTATCTAATTTGCACATATTTTGTTATAAACAAAGTTTATTATTTATGCATTAAATATACTGTATATTTTACCGTATGCTATTGCATTTTTTCAATGAAAAAAATTGTTTACGTATATATTTCAACACTGAATATGAATGTATTTAGTTATAATTGTTACAATTATTTAAATAATTTTTGTTTAAACAAAATAAAACAATTATTTTTTTATTTGGAAATAAATTTTTTTGTTAAATACAGATAAAATTAAGAAAAGATAGTACTTTAAAATTATAATTTTTGAAAAAAACTAAATTGCAAATTGATAAATGTAATCTAATTGTTTAAAAATAAAAAAAGAGTGTTAACTTTAAAAATATACTGTGGCCCTCCTAATCAACAGATTTCAATTTTTCAAAAATCATTTGAAAGGTTGAGCAGTCTTTTCTTTTTATGCGAAAAAATTTTCAAGTACCTAGATGTTTTATTTGAGGCTGTGCAACATTTTGAAAATTCGGACATTTTTTTTCAAAATTAAAAAAAAATATTTTGCGAAAACTATCCAACCGATTTTAATGAAATTTGGTGTGTTTTATTCTCTAAAGTTTTTTTTACCAAAATTAGAATGCCCTCGGAGCAATTAAAATATTTAAAAAAAATTATTCAAAAAAACTTGATTTTTTTTGCCTTTTTTTCATCAATTATTGCTATTTTGCAACATCGGTAATAAATTTAATCATTTCTAACTTACAGTATAAGTTATTATGCAAAGTTCAATTCTAAAACTTTTTTCCCATTCAATATTCTTCCAAAATTCATAGGTTCCAAGATATAAGTAAAAAACTCAATAAAATAGTATTTTTTTAATTTTTTAAACATTTTTGCAATTTTGAAAATGTTCCGGACCTCGCCCATATCTAGGGTGTACACTTTTATTATGTGAGTTTGTACGGAAGGTATTCCAGCAAAAAATAGCTTGCCCCCTCTTACATCCAAGAATTGGGATATTTCGACAGATTCGCCCTGGTCTATGTATCTATTTTACGAAACACATGTTGGCTGTTCTTAAATACTACTAAATCCTTAATTTGAAATTGTTCATTTCTATAGTATCTATGTAAATAGTAAACAAGGGCCAGATTCGGTCTGTACAATTTCAACTATAACAATTTGTTGCGGGTTGCCTAAATATGTGACGTCACACTAAAAGAGTATTTCAGATTTCATCTCTTAAAGCAGTGAATTTCGTGACTAAAAACTAACCTTTCCACATCAAAATTTTCCAGAAATTATTCCTAAAATATGAAGGTTTCCGAGATCTAGACTAGAAAGCATTTGATTTGATCTGAGAAATTTATTTAGGCGAATTGAATTAGTTTAGAATTTTTATTTACTCACAATTGTTACGTAAACGTAAGTAGATACGTATTTCTACACAGTTTTGAAATTCTAACAGTGCTCTATGTTGTTTTGACTTAGATATTTGATAGTAGTAAGTAGGTAGGTAGCAGTAACACGCATATGCAAAGGTGATTTATATTCTGGATGCGAGGTTTTATTTTTACTTGCAGGTACGAATTTAAAACAAAATAATGGCGATACAAGCCAGGTGGCAACAAAACTTGAACCAGATCAGACAGATCCATGCACCTAATAACCTCTTCAGGGCCAATATTCACGTGCACAATCCAGTTCACTTGTCAGACACACACCCAAACCAGTTTCAGTTACTATTATTATCATTATTACCAAGATTTCAATTTTGCGAGTCGCTTTGCAATAGAAACTCAAGCGTAAGTGCGTATACTGGGTGATTAAAATATATCTACTGTTAATATTTAAAGAAAATAATAATAAGTTACCTTTTGTTGCATTATCCTGCAATAGGGCTTGTAAGAATTCGTCCCACAGATGAGCATCTTACCAGGGGCCGTGTAGAAAAGCATTCTGATGTAATTTTGGCAGTCATCCTCTGTTTTTCCTTTGAGGGTGCAGATCTGATGATGTGCCTCGGACGATGGCCAATAAATAGTGGAATCTTTTCGTTCGGAAAAATCGAACACTGATAAATTATAAATTCGGTTTCTTCCACCAAATAAAATCGTATTGTCGTCTTGATACAAGACTGTAAAGTGATCAGGGAATGTCGTGTTCCCTTTAAAGCTAATACTAGGTATCTTGCTTAAGCCATTTATTAATTTTGTGCTCGTGTCCGGGAGCCATCCGTGGGAAATTTTGATTAAATATAATATTAACAATAAAGGAAAAAAACTGTAAATTTTGACAAGGCACGCGAAGGCACTAGAAGACATTTTGGATATATTAATTTTCACTTCTGCGTCATTTTCCCACCATTCTGGTCCTGAAACAAAGCATTCACGTCAGCCAAATATTGTCAAGAAAAATTATTAAATATTTGCTTTGCAAACGCAAATACGCAATTTTCGTAGAACTCCGAGTAAAAATAGTCCAAACTTCCCGCTAAAGTGTTACCAAAATAAACTCACTTTTCGTTATAATGTAAAAATTGTATCGAATTACACCAACAAAAATAAATAAAGACTAGATACATCTACATGGTAAAACACCATAGGCACAGCTTTAACATGAATTTAAGAAAATATTTGTGATGCAATAGATTCTTTAATAACAAGTTTTTTTCGAACGGAACTATAGATGTTTTTATCACCAAATATACAGTCGCTATATTTTAAAGGACTGATTCTATAGTGTATATGGCTGATAAATTATAACATATATTCATAACAATACTTTAATTATGTACTGATACCTATATAAATCAGCTCAACGATATAATGACACTTGCAAAAAAATCCAACAACAGATCAACTCGAATCACTCAACAGAGGCAATTAATAGAAAGCGTTTCTAACAAAGCTATTTCAATAGATTTTTAATTATTAAGCAGTCCGTTTCAATCACAGGTGCATGCGATAAGATCTTTTTTCAAAAGTCCAAATACAACAATAAACAAAAACTAAAGCACTCTGATACTGAATTTAATAATAATCAGTTTTGTAATAATTGTAATATGTTTCAATACAGAAAACAGTTCTATTTATTATTTTGTCGCAGGTCAACATTTTTTTATTGAAACTGTTCTAATTTTGCAACAATTTACTTTAAAGTTTTGTTTCACTACAGCCATGTATAAAAATCCGGCAATTTACCCCGAACTAAGTGAATTATACGTAAAAAATGTGTGCTCTACATTTTATGAGGTGCGACCAAATTTAAGTGTAGCATAAACAAATGAAGTGATAAAACTTTCCTGTTATATAAAATATTTTGTTGAAAGACGGGTTTATATCTATGTTTGTTTACATCGCCTACAAGGGTGACTATTAAGGGATGTGTTAAACGTACTTGAATTCTGAAATAAACAGCCTTAACTATTCACAAGATTAATGGTTTACCGATTATCAAAATGGCATACGTGCACTCTTCAGGTAATACCGTCTACGTTTTTTCCCAACCGAAATGAGCAGGTATTTACAGAAAAAACCGCAACGAAATGAACTGATAAATAATAATTTGTTAATACAGAAAAATGAGTTTCGTTTTCTTACAACACAATAATCTAATCCAAAGTTCAATGAAGGAATAATAATAACCGATTATTTAACATGTTTTAATTGTTACTATTACTAGTATTACTTTTATTTTTTTGTGCAAAAATATCTAATTTATGTTTTTGATGACGATATTTCTCAATTTTGTCCTTTTTTTCAGAACTTGATGATAACTATTCACTGTAGTAAACGACCACTAAAATATGAAATGCTAATATCTAAAAATATACACACAGGGTGTCCCATATAAAACTTTCCACTTGAACATTTCGTTTAAAATGAAGTTTTGAATAAATTCCAAAAACACGTCGATTTTTAATTTGAGGGGGACATCAGCTTACATCATTACTTATTTTGCAGCTGCCACCCTTTCGTAGATCGAGGTATCAACTTTGAAATTTCAAATGGCACTACAAGGCGTGTGATACATCGTTTGAAAGCTCTTTTTATACTGACTGAATCCGTAAAATAAAATTATTTTTACATTTAAAATTGTTTTATTTTAATTTATGGCATGTGTTAACCACTGGAACGATTTTCATACATCAAAACATTAATTATTAAACTGCAAAAAGGTTTCTACCTCAGATGATAAAAACAATAATAAACGAAATGTAAAGGAGGTTGAAGTTCTTATCATAATTTTTTATGAATTCCATTTATTGCAAATAAATAATGACGTGATGATAAAACAGGGGATAAAGAAATAATAACGAATTATAGGCCTATATCTCTTATAACAAATCTTTCTAAATTATTTGACATCATACATTAATAAATATGAGTATTGTCAAAAAATCAATATGGGTTCAAGGAAGGGGTATTTACACAGGATGTTTTATTAGCTTTAACCAACAAAATATATACTGCATTAGATGAAAGTAAACCTAATTTATGTGTTTTTCTTGATTTAAACGAAAGCACTAGTTTGACACCGTAAGTCATGAATTTATTATTAAATACTTTACAACAAATCGGGATTAGGGAAAATACATTGAAATTAATTAAAAGCTATATATCCGATATTCCAAATCCGATGGGGATATTATAAGTTTTGCTGATGATACAGCTATCTTTTACAAAGCAAATTCTTGGGAAGAACTTAAAAACAAGGCAGCAACTGACTTAATACTCGTAAAAAACTGGTTTGATCACAAATTACTGACAATAAATTTTGAAAAATCGCACTTTATGCCTTTCAGTTGCAACGAATTTAATGTACAAAAATATTACACTTATTTAGCTCCGAAGATTTATAACACATTACCAACTGATGTTAAAATCATATGAGTATTTATTTATTGAAAAAAACGTTAAAAAAATATATATTTGATATGCCCAGAAAAACAATTCACTATATTTTTGAATCTAGAATCAGATGATTAGTTAATGCACAAATACTTTTTTATTATTGATAACTATAAAAAAATCATTGTTATTTTTTATTGAAAATTGTACATGCATATATATTTTATTATCTAAATTGTTTGTCTAAATAATGTAATGTGATATTGTTAAGAGATTGATAGGTGAATAATTTTGTTTGTCCATATAGATTTCTAGTTTTCTTATGTTTTTATTGTTGTTCTTTTATTTAAGCTTATTGTTAGTAGTTATATGTTAATGTTTAATTCTAAAACAAGTGTTATTCACTTTTTGGATATCTATTTTGTTTATTTACTTGTATTTCAAGTTTATGTGAAGTCGATGTCGCCCTCAAATTAAAAATCGAAGTGTTTTTGAAATTTTCTCAAAACTTCATATTGAACGAAATGTTCAGGTGGAAAGTTTTACATGGGACACCCTGTATACATTCTCAAGCTGAAATCTAGTAAAGAAATCTCAGAAAATTAAATTTTTGTAAATATGTACAAACGTTCCTCTTGACACTTATACCTTCAGAACACGCATACTAGCTTCACACCCTCTAAGGTGGAGTCTCAATTTTCCTATTTTAGGACAAAATATACACCGAAAAAGTTTTACTTTACGTCATCCGTTAAATAAAATATTAAATACAAAACCGGAGTTTAATAAAGCACAAAATGTCTACTATTAAATAAAGTACTGGTATTATTTATGATTTTTTTTATAAACAAAATTGTCCTCTAAAAGCCACCTCTCATTATTTATTATCTCTAAATTCAATTCGACTGACCTTCTTCTCAATGAGAACTTTTATTTAAAAATTTTTAGATTGCAATTAAATAACACAATATGACATTTGCTTGACCGCTTTGCTCAATGGACGATGAAGTAGTCGGAATAAGACTACAATAAAATTGTTTTCGTTGCTACTCCAGTTAAGAAAATTGTTACATAATATTTTTGTATTTGTGGTGAATTGCCACACTACATACACACATCTATACACCTTGTCTTATTTTACTCACAACCACTTTCTCGAGGAAGGCAAATGAAGGCTTACAAAGTTTTAAAAGCATTGTTAAATTCAATGACATAAGACGGTGTATACAAGCGTACGTTAAAAAAAAATGGCAGACTAGTGTCCAACACCACCCAATTTTTTGTAAAAATAGTAATTACTGAACTGATTTATATTTAAAACAAATTATACTGAAGACAAAAAATTTAATTGCCTAGAATTTTTAAAATTATACGTTCCAGTGAGTAACTCAAATAATAAGGAAGTTTTTTTGAACATTTCCCTTTTTCATGGTCAGTAGCTATATGAAAACGACGTTAAAAAATAAGTTTCAGTGCATACGGGTGAATAAGCTTTGTGCTCTTATCGAATAAAAAATAAACAAACTCAATAAGTAAATATTCTTAGAAGTCTGCGAAGAATAAAAAAACCTGCTGCCAGCGATATCATCTCTTTCTGAACGCATCGGAAATATGAGAGGGTACCTACTATGTACTGTTATACTAAATTCATATACGTATGTGTGTTTTTATCCATGTCCAGACCAAAATCAAGTATCCTAACGTACGACAATAATTATTGGAATCGCTTCTGGGTCTTAAAAAAAGTACCGATATTCTCCTATACCAATAACGGCACTTTTATTTAATTTATTCACAATGAAACGTCAGAGCATGTCTCGTATTTTAAAACTTAAGTAAGTTTGAATACAAATCGTATCATATATGTACATATACGTATTATACAACTAAAATCTTCAGCTTAGTAGGATTATATAACGTTGTTTAAAGGATTTATTTATTTAAACATGATGGCTTATTACACATTACTAATAAGTTTAGTTATTTTTATAGAATTGTACAACCAATATTTAGAGGTAAAAATTTATTTCAGGAAAAAGTGTTAGGCAATAATGTGATGTTCCTTTCAACTACGTTGGAAATGTTCTAAAAAAATGTTATAAATTAAGGGGATTATGAGCTGTACTATAATTTAGAACGTTATATTTTGTGATTTATTCTGAATTGATTCAAAATTAATTTCTCAAAAAAATTTGGCAAAACAATCCTATTATGACTCGATTACCGAATCATTCCATTAACTATATTAAAAACCAATTTACTGGTTCAGTGAGATCAGATAATTAGTTATTGAGTAATCTATTACAGGAAAGATGAGCAGAATTAACAAAATGCATCGAGTGTAATGTCATATTTAATTATGCCATTTAAAGGTCTCCTTAACTTCTGTTTATCTTAGCTCATGGTTTTTTATAATACATTAAAAATCTCCTAAGGTAACGCACCAGTGGCGCCGCAGAGAGGGTTCAATAACATATATTATGTAGCTGTTTTTAAGCACAATATTCCCTTAACTTTATAT